TGATCTCTTTCCCATCTGTGATTCCCCCTGGAGGCTACAAACTTCCTATCCTCTAGGAACCTCTCTGATCGTTAAGCAGGAGCCACCTTTCTTCTCAAGCAATAGTCAAGGGGTAAAGTTTAAGCTCATATCCCCTTTGACCTGAAGGATCTTTCATGTCTTGCCTCTGTTGAGAGGAGGAGATGAAACTGCAGAGCCTTTTTCTGCCAGGACCATCAGAATGGTAGTCGTGATCTCTCAGTAACCGGCAGAGGGGGACCCGGCTTAATGACAGGAATGTGCTGAGGGAAGGGAGGGGGAATGCAGTCCTGGTATGGAAAGGCTGAGGCCACTCTATTTATAGTTAACATGAGCTTCAGTCTTGTTGGAACCTAGCATGTTTCAGATCCTGCAGCTTCAGTCATTTGCTTGACTTTTTCCTCTAATTCCCATTGCAAGGCATAAACAGTTTGACCCCAGCTCCTGACCACCCAGGCAGGAGTCCCACCCTCCTAGACATTAATGAAGGATCCCTGCTCTCCGTTGGCAGATTCAGGCTCCACACAGCGCCCTTTCCTCCGGGTCACTCTTCGGTTCCGGTGGAATTTGGCATAACAGCGTAGCCCTATGGAAAAGACATGCATAAGTGAACAGGAGGGACCAGGGCTCTCTACAGCAGTAACATCAATTAGCTCTTGGCCTCAGTTCGTGACAGAGCCTGCTGCGGTGGGGACAGTCTCAGGGCTAGGAAGCCTGGGCTGTGTCAAATGTGGTGGCAGAGAAATGCCTCACATGGGCAGGGCATATTGCTTTCTGGGCCCTGCTATTCAATTTGGCTCACTGTTCTGGTTGGGGGTTCACTGGATTGGGCAGAAGGTTTCACTGGCTTCTTGAAATACCAGTGAATTATCCCGATTGTTTCCAGTGATTTTATGGAAGCCTTGCTTGGTTTCCCCCTATTACTTCCCATTACTGTCTAAGTGATCTCTCCATTGGGAAATTACTATAGACTTAATGTGCAGCAGCAATGCGTAGGGAGCTCTCTTCACTATTTATTTCCCTGAAGCTTCAGGAGAGGAGGGAAGAGACCTTGAAGCGTTATTACTGGGAGGTCTGATCCAAAGCTCACTGCTGATCTCCTTCAGTTTCTTTGTTTTGGATGCTCAAAGTGCAGGATCTGAAGGAAGCTATCTGACGGAGCATTGATGAATACTAAGGGGGGGGAAAAGGCATTTTATTTGTAAAAACCATCAGTACATATTCTCCCACGGCAGTGAAAAGCAATGGGAGTCTCTGGTCAGGGTAACTCATTGTTCTTCTGACACTGGTAGATTTGTTGGGCTAGACAGGGTACAGCCTGTGTGTAAATAGTCCTTGCCAAAGCCCAGATTTTCAGTAGCCCAGGATCTGGTCATTAGGGTTGGCAGGAGCTGATTTAATCATCCTAGAAACTGCAACTCTTCTTACTTCCAGAGCAGACACCAGATAGCAACAGGGTAGAGGAGGCTGAGGATTTATAGCTTTTATAACGAGACAGCCCATAAACTGTCCCCAAGTACACGGGAGACCCAGATGATGTCACAGGTCACTGAGCAGCCTTTTGGAGTGGATGTCCCTGGGCTACACTGACACCCGCTACCTTGAAGCTGTGTTTCTGTCCCTCATTACCAGTCACCCCAGGGCAGTCTGGCCTCCCAGAAGGAGAGCACACAAGATCAGAGCTCTGCCCTTATCCAAGCATGTTGTCTATCTTATCTGGACCTTACATCTCTGGGGATCTTTTTAATGCTACAGAGGATACACATTTGGCATCAACTTATAACTAGCTTAAGTATAAAGCAGAGCCGGGGGGAAGCCCTCATTAGGCTTACAGAAACACTTTTCTAGGCTAATCTATGAGAACTTCCTCTCTGATGAGGACTTTCAAGTGTTACGTGACACACCCAAGGTGATGACTATCATTTAACATCGCAACTCCAGGAAAGCAGTCTGTTTAACTGGGTAAAATGAAGGTGAATGACCTGATCAAAGTCACCAGGTACAAAGTGACAAAGATCACAAAACTTGGCAACCGGAATTTTGTTCTGGCAGACAGACCCAGTGCCTGGAGCTGATCCTGAATGTGTTCAGACCAGAAGAGTGCCTTTCAACATCTTCATAATGCAACTGTCCATTAAGGGCTGCTCTGGATTCTTCTCCTGCCTGCACCTACTAAATTGCTACAAATTCAGTTGACATTAACCCAGGAAAGCCATATTAGGCATGAGGTCATGTAAACCAAGGATAGTAGTCTGGTTTTGTAACCTGTGATACCTGAAAGCACCATTGAATTGTTAATATATTGTGGCTTCTCCTGTTAGGTTTGTAGATACCAGGATTTTTGTTTTTAAGGGAGAAAACAAGATATCCTACATTACTCAATGGTCACATTGTGAGTCAGTGGCAGGGAAAGGCTAAGAGCAGCAGAGCTTGGCATCCTTTTTTGCATACAAACCACTACTTCGAGTCAATGCAGGCAACTATGAAGCCAACTGGAAGGGGGAGAGCAAAGAGCTGAACTCACCTTCAGTGCACATACAGTCATCATAGCATTTGTTGTTAAGGCCTCGATTGTGTGGTTTGCAGACGTGTTCACGCAAGTCACAGCAAGAGCCTGCAACACAGGAACAAGGGTCAGCACTGCTCATTTATCCCCTCCCCTTGTAGGGCTACTGCCACCCATGACAGCTCCATGGTACAGACACCATCTGTTTCCACAACACACCTAGAAAGCCTCTTCCCTCCCTTTGCATATTCTATCAGCATTATAAATCAGGATACTTGTATTAGAAGCTGGGCTGTATTTCAAACAATCTCATATTTGGAGAAATGGCTCGATCGAGCTGATCCTGACCTGGGAGGCAGTCAAGGTGGTGATCACATGGCTCTCCTTCAGCCATCACGGTTTCATTTCCACTGGTAGGGCTCTTACTGCGGCGTTTTTCTATGGGGAAAAAAAAAAAAAAACAAACCCAAAAAAACCCAACAGATGCTGATAGAAAATTTTATGCTGGTGTTTTTTTATTTTTGAGACTATTGTTGAAGGGTAAAACTAGCCTCAAACTCCAAGAGTTTGAACTCTGAACCTTCACAGTCTAATCTCCTCCCTATTTCTCAACCCTCCATCTATAATTTTTCCTCTGCTCTCAAACTATGCATCCAAAATGAGAAACACTCTGAAACTGAGCACAAAACACAATCAGCATTCCCCACTGCTATGATCTCACATCCTTCAGCACATCTGTGAACACTAACCACAGGATAAGCCTTACAGAATGACTTTGGGAAAGAGGGCGGGGAGGTTTAGCACCTTTCTTTTTAGCAGATGGCCACATTTCTGGTTTGAGATCCTCATAATCTGTCCAGTCAAAGAGTGCCATATCTAGGGTGGGCATCACATCCCAATCTTGCCTGAGGCGGGCCTGCAAACCACAAGAAACCAGAGACAACAGATTACAGTAGTGACACTGAAGTCTTTGCAAATTTTCCTGGTGCTTTTAGACCTTAAGCTTGATGATTTCCCCATCCTGTCCCACTCCTGTCTTGTCCATTGGGGATTCTTGGTATCTAATTTTCAAAAGGGAAGAGATTTCTGTTGTTGCAGCTGAAACCAAGAGGGAAGTTTCCAGTGATTCTATGTGAGGACACAAGGCAAGCAAGGAACATAAGAACATGCTGCCTCTCCAGCCAAGTGCTCCTACTACCTCCCTGGTCCTTGAAGCTGAATGAAGATGGGTGGCTAAGCAAGAGGGAGGGCAGGGAAGAGAAGCAAGAGGGAGGGCAGGGAAGAGAAGCAACTAAAGGAACTGTTTATGAAGAAGAGGCATTTAGATGTCTCCAAGACAGAGAGCTGCTTTTAATGGAGGGCTTTGGTGCTAAGTAAGCACTTACCTCTAGCTGAAAAAAAAAATATATATAATAAAGAAAAGGAAACTGGACCTTATCTGCAGGAGTTTTCTGTCTGCAGAGGTACAGTGCAGTTGCTAGCAGTCTCTTTACCTGTGACCGTGGTGATGTGGCTGGAAGAACAGGAGGTTCTTCTGTGGACGCAGCCAGCTCCAGTGCAGTGAGTGTGGTGGGAGTCAGACTTGTAGCTTCCTCTGCCTGGAGATTTTGAAACTGTTCTTCAAAGCTTTCAGGTTTCTTGTACAGGGAGCTTGGCCCAGCATCAGGAGTCTTCCCTGCAGAGGGAAACAGGTACAGTAGCATTAGCTTTCTCATCCCTTTTCTCTCTGTGTGCCATAGATTAGAGTCAAAGGAATTCAGATTGACGCAAATTGCCTGGCTTTAATAGAACTAAAGAGTCACACACCCACAACTTGACCGGCAAAGGAAAGCAGTCCCAGTCAAAATCAAGCAACATTTTAAAGTAATTAGTGGAATTTCACATAAGCAAAATTTATATTTTTTGGTAGTTCAGCATAGATATAGATGAATATAAGCTCTAATAAGAAGAAACTGATCGTCAAGAAGGGGTTTTGTATTGTTTCTAGTTCTGGTCATGTTTTGAAGTCAGTGGAGCGATTGAGCATGGCTTGGACATGTTTGTTTATAAATTGAACCATTTGCTAAAGAAGAAAAAAAACAAAGCAGGCCACCCCAAAACAACCCCCAAGTCCTAGGAGCTTTCAGAGCTCGGCCTGTAAGGCAAACCAGGTCATTTTCACAAAATTGTAGCCCGCAGTAAAAACCTCTGGTTCTGGAGTTCCCCTTTTTTCTTGTGCCTCTTTTGTTTGGCAGATTTCTCCCCAGAGCAGGCACACATCCCACACCCTTCTCACACCCATGTGGCTCAACCACAGCTGCTGCTTCTTGCCCTCACTCAAGTGACACTCATTTCAAGTGACCCAACAGCTTCAGCTTCCCTTGGAGCTCAAATACCTCTGTGGTGTTTCAGCCTGTCCCTGCGGCTGTGGCGCCGATGCTCTCGGTTCTGCTTCTTTCCTCTCTCAGACCCAGGGGACTGGTTCTCCCTCTCAGGATATGGGAACTCAAAACCCAGGAACACATCCTTATTCTGTTTCAGGGCTGCTGCCTGTCCCTCTGCCACCATCTGGAGCCCCGCTACCCGTTCTGAGGGTCTCTTCCCCAGCCGGCCGCCCTCTAGAAGGCATGGCATGGACCCTCTCCTTCTTGGCCAAGCCCTGCTTGTGGTGGTGCTCGCTTCTGGGCTGCTGCAGCCACATCTCTTGGTTTTGAAGGTGGTTGTTGTTCTCTGGGACATTTTTGAGCTTTGTGCCAGGGTCCAGGGAGACTGCAAGACTGATGTCAGAAAGAACCAGCATGCACAGGAAAAGGAAAGGAGAGAAGAAGGTGGAAGAAGTTGCCATAATTCTGGGTGCTCTGCCTCACCTGCAATTTAAAAAAAAAAGAAAAAGAAAAATTAAGCAACCAACTTCTAGGAACTGTAAAGGCAAGCAAGAGTCAGACCTAGGACACTTAGATGAAAACAGTTATGGTGTCCAGAAGCTGGAAGTGATTTTTTTCCCTCTTTGATTACCTCTTCCTCTCCCAACCCTGGTTACAGCAGCTGAGACACACGTGCAGGGCCTGCGGGGCTGAGAGGTCCCAGTTTCATGTGCAAATGAGGGCCATCAATCAGTAGGACATTTCCCTTTGATTCCCGACTAGCCCCCCTACCCTCCCATTCACAGCCTACCATCTGAGGGGCTGGGGGGGCTGGCTCCTGCGGGCCACAGCTCCTGAGCCGCCTGCACAGCACCAGCTGTCTGGCTAGGGCTGTTTGCTGCCAGGTTGGCATCCTGGGCCTGTCTGGCACTGGCCCCTCCTCACAGCTGGTTTCCTTGCAATGAAGATGTCAAGATGAACAGAACTGGAGGCAGATGGTGGCCTCGCAGGACCAGCAACAGCCCTGAGCAGCTCAAGACAGAGACATACGCATGCACACACATAACTGCTTTGGGGAAGCTGAAAGTGGTCCAGGGAAGAAAAAACACTGGAAACTTTGTGCTGATAGCTCACAGCATAGCAGAGAAACAAATCTTGTGTTGTCAGCAGAGCAGGGGATGCTGGTCTGAAGATCAAGGGGCAGGGAGGCAGACTGAGTTTTCTTTAGTTTGTCCTACTTTCCCTCCTTGACCCTGCACAGGTCAGTTCACCTCACCCCACCAGGTGAGGCTGTCACTGGGAGGGTAATTTAAATCCAAAGAACTCTGAGACCGAGTCTCTCAGCACAATGGCTGCAGACTATTCTCATTCATTCTGCTTCACTGTAATATTTTCCTTATCCCTGTGTTTGTTATGAGACATGGCTGTGCGACATTGCACAAGTCAGACACTTCTCCAATTTGGTCATTCTCCCCGATCCTTTCACACAAAAGGGGGAGAGGGGTTTTCCATATTTCCAGTGCAGTCTTTCACTTTGGGGTAGCTTTCTCAGACTGTCCGTCTCAAGCTGGGCAGCATGAAGGCATGCTTAAAGCAGAGTTTCCTGTGACATCAACTGTCAGAAAACCAGACCTATGCTTGCTTACATTTGAGAAATACTGTCACAAAGTTACAGACACAGCTCTTCACTCAACCTCCTCTCCATCTTTCCTGCACCCTACCCTCAAGTTTCACCTGATTTGCATCTGTCTGTTCACTGGGGGAACCACTCTGCTGGATAATTACAATGGCTGGTATTCCCTCCTCCAGGTGAAGGGCAGCAGGTAACATCCTTTGAGGCCAATCTCAGTGCCTTTTTGTGGAGCTGACAGGAGACACCCTAAGAATGGCCTTAGTTCCTCCTTTCCTCTTTTATTTCAACCTGTGAGACAGATGTGGAATGTTTTGAGCCAGTGAAACCTCTGCCATCAATAGCAGCCACAGTCTCATGGAGCATCTGGGGAGTTTAGAGGGAGATGTCTTCATCCTCTTAACTGAAAAGCCTGCTCACTCCTTCACCACCCCATTCTGCCTTTCCAAGATTCATCCCTCTTATTGCTCAGAGCCTGGGAGCAAATCTCCCCTGGAAAGAGGTAGGCAGCACAGGGGCCTTCTCTTTAATGTAGTGTCTGAAAAGCAGGCCTTTCTACTGGCCACAAAGGACAACAAACTGCTACTTGAAGACTGATTTGGGAGGTACCGAAGGCATAACACTATGAAATAGTATTTTATTGGCAGCTACCTGGGACAAAAGAAAACCAGACTAACAGCTAAATCTATTAACAAAGCACTTGAAGTCCTGCTTCAAAACCAATGGAACAAATAGCCACCAAGCAAAACCCAAGCTCTGCATTCACAGTCTTTGTTTTTTCCTATTATTTTTTCTTTAAGAACCAGAGCAAACCAGCTGAATCAAGGCATTGCTCAGAACAACTCAAAATGCTAGAAACAGCATTTTACCTTTTCATCTGTAAGCAAAATACCGAGAGGAGAGAACAAGTGCAAAGTGGATGCGAGGCAGGTGTCTCCAATCTCACTCACACAGGCATGGGCCCTTTGATGGTGAACCTGACAAACACATTAGCTACAGATTCTGG